ACTGACCCAGTGTCAGCATGCAGGAGAGTCCCAGTAGAGTGACCATTGGTGGGTCACACCAAGAGAGCACTCGTTTGGTTTAGTGCATATGGTAGTCCTTACCAAAAAATTTTTGTAGTATCAGTTGAGCTCTAGTATCAAGGTGTGGTTTGAGGTTGGGTTTGGATGTGCAGGCAGATGCTTATCATAGATGGAATAACAGTGGCGGTGCAGGTGGTCTTACCTCTGACAGTGAGGTGCACATAGTAGTAATAGACTTTGGGCTCCTTGTCTATGTCATAGAAGGCCTGGCAGGTGAACAGGCCATGTGCAGCCAGAGGCAGTTTCTCGATGCTCACAGCCGCACTTTTTGAGATGACCGTCAGCGTTCCAAGCGTCTCTGCCAGATTCTGGATCCTCGTTCCTTTCCCCAAATCATACACCACAGCTCTTATAGCTTCAGTACCGGGTTTGGTAAAGCTCCATATGTACATATCAGGTAAGGTGGGACCACACTCCAGGATCACTGCTTTGCCCACCACTCCATACACACTGGTGTCCTGGTACACCACCTCCCAGTTCTTATTGATCTCCACCACTGGCTGTGCTGAAGGGGAGGACACACACACATGCAAGCAAACTTTTTGTGTGTGAAGGAAAAGGAGATGGTGGTGTCGAGTGCACTGCCAGTGTTCAGTTGCAGGATTGATTAACTCTAATTTTGCTGTAATAGTTTAATAAGGGATTCCGAAACAAACAACCTCATTAGTCAAATTACAACTTCAGTCATATTCAATTCATCAACCATCTTTTGCTTTTTTAGCTATTTTCTTTTTCTATTACCTTCTCACAGATCATATGTTATACCAGTCGATATATACTCTAGTATGGTGTTTGGTGTAACCTTAATCTACCTCCTGAGGTACACTCATCATCCACTAATCAGTTTGATCCTTGAGCAAGATACTGAACCTCAATTTTGCTTCCATTTATGTGTGTGTGTTGATTGGGATGCATGGCAGCCTCTGTCATCAGTGTATGAATATGTGTGAATGTGATGTGAGTGTAGAAAGGTGCTATAGAAGTGCAGTCCATTTGTCATTTACCATAATAAAACTGACATTCAGTGCAATAAAATGTGTTCTTCTGTTACGCATTACATCAGAAGGAGCTCCTCACATCGGTAAAACTGGTATATATGTTTGAGTAAATTAAGACAACTGTACATTTTTCCCATCAATAATACAAATTTAAGTGATCTGTATCAAACAGTTTTGTTCCTGTTAAATGTTACACATAGAATAAATAGTATTGCTGATAGATTGTTTTGAAACTACAGTATCCAATGTAGTATCTGTTGTGCTATACTACAAAATAGAATTTTGTACAACACAATCACGACAATAAATGATAAAGATTTTTTTTCCCTATTAGCAGTTCTCTTAATTTGTCTTGTCAACCATTCAAATCATGTGATATAGAAAACCAATTTTTAACTGCAACTCAGATAAGTCTAAATGAATCCACAGACACTGGACTTACCATATGTCGTAAAGGTGACCAGACTAGTAGGTAGAAATAGAAAGGCCAGTCCTAGCAGTTGGGCCACCATGGTATCATGATGATCCTGAATCAAACAGCGTCTTTAGTCCAAAAGATGTAGTCGTGATGATCAAAAGGTAAAACCTTCAAACCACAAAAGCTGCCTGTTGACGGCGTCCCTCAGATGGCTGAGGTCACGTCTTTTCCCCTCTCTGATCCAGAAGTTTCTTGGAGAATCCAGTTGCAGGCACTGACTTCGTTAGACTGAGAGTAGGAAGTTTTTCCTTTCTTTCTATCCCCTGTATCCCTCGTTTTTTTCTCCTGTGGGGTTAGAATAACACGGTGATACTGAGCTCATCTATTATACAATACAGATGCATGGGTGGACAGGTTAACTTTCCACACACACACCTGCACATTAACTAATAGCTGAAATCCAGGGTCTTCAACTGGACATTCCTCCACACTGGTCTTTCATGTTATTTTGCACTTAAATTTTCTAATTCAGCAGTCAACACTAAAAATAATTTACTTTTTCAGTCTTTTCCCTGTTCATGCAGATATAAACATCTTTCCAGCCAGCCTTACAGTGGATGCACACCAACAAAGAGGGATTAAAAACAGGGAATGTAAAAGGATTTATATCTTATTAGATTTTCTTTGCCCATTGTATATTTTAGCGCAAGTTTAAGGATAAAAAGGCCTCATAGGCCACAAAAAACAAAAGTTTTAAATTGATTGCGGAAGTGAATTTATTTAGTTACAGTAAGATCCCGCTATATTTCCCTCTAATCATCTTTGGCGAGTTGTAAAATTAAAGGCTCCAGATTTTAATTTCAGAGGTCACACGAGGACCAGAGAGCAGAGTAAACTCTACTGATGAGATTAGGATTAAAATAGATTTAGAAATCTGGCATTTTGCAACGATGGTCTGCGTTTTCTACTGTGACCTCGACACTCTGCGGGCAACCATGTGAAGATGTAAAGCCTCAGTGTCCAGTTAATGAGACGCTGACTCATATTGTGAGTTTGTGTTTCTAAAAGAGAATGGGAGCGAGGGAAATGTTGAGTGGACCCATGAGTGTGTAATGTGAAACGTGTGTCATGAATGAATGCAGGACAGAGATCAGTTTTCCTCATTTGGCAGAGACCAGGGCTGAAAGGCAGCAGAACCTAAACAAACACTGAGGGAGCAACAGTGAATGGTTTGGTTTATCAGTTATATCCAAAAGTACAATAATAGGTTGAAATTGTAATATTTCTCTTCAGTGGTTTATCACAGTGTGAGGTCATTTGTATTCTGATTTAATACACTTTAAAACCATAAAATGCTGAGTTTACAACCAATACTTCACAGACTTGAATGCACTGTATTATTACAGTGTATTATTATTCAAAATTTCTTGAGGGACGTCCATCCCAAAGGGACGAATAAAGTGAAGTCTATAATCTAAGTCTAAGTCTACAGAATTGAATTGTTTCTTTTCTTATGTTTCAAATGATCTAAAACAGTACAGGAAGACACATATAAAATGAAACGTGTGAAAAGATGCAGCTGAAGAGAAAAGGATGTAAAAATTGAGGCTCATGCTGAGCTGGCCGCTAAATCTAAAGCTCAACATCAAGGCTGGAAAGTGTGATGAGAGCTGGACGCAGTGCATCTCTAGCTACTAGTGTGCCTGTGGAGTTGGGAATTCATTGTTAGGGATTTTATCAGCATGCAAAAGCAGCTTAAGACACAAAGGGCAGCCTGGGACTCTGACAGAAACTCTAAAAGAGCGTGTGTGAAAGATATGTGTATTTCTATGTGTGGATGTAGAAGTGGTTGTGGAACACAACCCAAAACAAACGTGCTTTGGATCGCTTGGGTTGATGGAAATGTAATCACTGCCAGTGCCAACCAATGCAATACAATCTATTTTTAAAACTTTTTGGGTTTTTTGTCTCTACCAATTACAGGAAATATCTGGCTGTTTTGAGATTAGTGCTAACGTTTGTATGCTAACATGCTGATATTTAGCAGGTATAATGTTTATTATGTTCACCATCTTATTTTAGCATGTTACCAAGCTAATATTTGCTAGCCCAGGATAAATGAAAACCTTGAGGGGGGTCAGGGGATCACCAAAGTCTGGGACTGGACTGACCAACAGACCAGGTTAGACATGCCTCTGATAAAACAACAGAATTACTCTAAAGAAAACAATAAACAGACTTTTAATTGTTAATGTATAAATTGTGAAGAAAGAGTTGAAGTTTGTGTGATTCAGTCATTGCTGATATAAGTTTACATGATAATTTTTATTTAAATGCTAAAAATTCAAGGCTCATCCAACAACCAGTGTCAATACTAAAACCCACAGATACCACAAATAAAAACATCAACTTCATATATCAACAAAAATGTCTTCAGTAAATAAAAACGATTTCTTTCTTTGCAAAGAAAAACACATGATACAAAATACAGTAAAAGTATTACATTGGAACAGGAGGTAAAACCAAAAGGTGAGGTTTGCTGTTTCTCAGTAAAGGGATTGTCAGTGTGTACGACGCAGGATAAAGATGGGGGCAATACAGATAAAGTAGTAAAGTATCATCTTTTTTTTTTGTTTTCTCTTTTTTTTTTTACAAAATGAGGATAAAGTAAGGAGTCAACCACATCGGACATCAAGAGATAATCCTATCCAGTCAGTTGGAAGTTTTTCCAATCAAATGTAATACATCGAATGACGGTCAAATCATCTTTAATTTGACCTGCCTCAATCGAAAAAACTTAGAAGAAACATAGTATAACAATCTTCCCTTTTCAAAGAACACAATAAAAAATGGACAAAAGACAGAAAATGTTTCGAATTTAGACTTAATTCCAAGCCCAAAAACAAAAGCTGCATTGTCCTTTGACTTCCAGAGCCGTCCACAGTGGTGCAGACAGTGCAGAGACGCTGCCTGATCGTCCAGGGTTAAACAACCTCCTCTTAGGAAAGGTTCAGGTTCAAATCGGGTTGTGTGTCATCTGAGCTCACTGGAGAGGTTTGAGTTTGTAACAAAGTTCAGACGTACTGCTCTTTAGGAAAAGTGTATGCTGCCACTCCTGGGGGAGGAGAAGACAGGCCCGGTACTGAGGGGTATTTAAAGATGGCCGTGGTGTGTGAAGGAGGAGAGAAGGTGTTTTTTGACGTGGCGATGCTGCTGCTGCTGGTTGCAGTGGTTGGTTGTGAGGACTGGTATGGATGTTGGGGCAGAAATGAGAGAGGAGGGTTGATGGGAGGGGAGTAGGGCTCTGGGTAGTCCTCTTTGTTACAGGCAAGCCTGTAGCTCACGTAGTCCGCTGTGTTTGGAAGCTCTTCATAAAACCGTCCTGAATGCTGTGGAGAAATGAAAGACGTATCAAAATTTTTTTTAAAATACACATACTTTACAACTGGTAAAGCAGATGTAGTCCTTAAAGGTACCCTGGCTGTGAGGTTTCTGACCTTCTAGTAGTGCTATGGAACAATGTTTTTATGAACGGGTCTGTTTGTGTTTGTGCACATGCATGAGGATGCACATGCACACACACACAAGCACACAGGCAGTGAAGAATAAAACCAATTGTTTTTACACAGTTCTACTGATCTATAGGTGGCAGTAATGTGCCAGGAAACAAAAACAAGAACGTACATGTGCTCCTTGCAAGTAAAGAATTTCCCCAAAAAATGGCTTTTCAAATATTTTAAGAGGAAAATAATGCATTCAACACATTTGATTGACCTCAAAGATACCCAAAATTCATTTTGGTGAGTTACACTCAATGTAAACAACTAACTCCATAGGGCACCTTTAAAGCCCTGTCACACCAGAAGTGGCACAGCAAGATTAATCTGACATCCTCAACAATTAATTTTATATACTTGTTGCAGCCTCTTTCATTTGTGACAAAATGGATACAATAATAGAAGTAGGAAGAGAAGGAAGGTCATTATGAAAAAGTTGTATCACACAGATAATTTAATAGCACTGTGGGGCTATATTCACAAAAGGATCTTGCCACTAAAGGTTAGCTTACCAAGTTTCCTCTTAAGAGCTATTTACAAAGCACAAAACTTAAAGCACAGAGAACTCCTGATGATACCACTGATCATATGGATAACATCATGGTTGAACTCCCTAACTATGTCCATGATTGGTTGACCAGTGACCCTAAGAAACTGAGATAATCAGCACTGAAATTTGTATTTTCCTGGTATAAGAAATACCCACCACAATTTCATAAAATCTGAAGTAACTAAATCCTTCACTTAAGCTCCCTGGCAACTCTTTGAATGTGTGACATGTAAATTGCAAACACAACACATAGGTTACCTGGATATCATCTCCTGGTCTTTTCCTTATCGGCTGGGACAGTTTACTGGACGGAGAGTCGCTTCTGATCAAAAAGGAAAGAAGAGAATAAAAGATGGAGGATGAGGGTGTTAATAGAGGATATAAAGCATGTTGAGATGAACAAGCACGAGAAACAAAGCTATGGAGGGATAACGGACAATTTACTTACGAGGAGTCGTCCTTTCTACTTCTTATTTTGAGCACCAGGACTGTGATAGTGATGCCCATTAGCACTCCAGCAGCTAGTAATAAGGCGACTACGCTGATGACATCACCTGTTGCAATCTGCGGTAGAGGCTTTTCTAAAAGAAAAACACACACACGTCAATAAAAATTCAAAGATTCATTGTTTTTCAGTAGCTTTTGGATTTACAGTAAGTGTCCTGCTACATTCACATGGATTCAGGCAGACAGCAGAGGGAAAGCGCCTTCCTCACAGCACAGGAAAAACAAACAAAGCAGCAGAGAGAAACCTGCATTACCTTATGTTGCTATGGTGATGAATGGAATAAATATATAAAGTTTAACAATTAAAATCATGTATATCATTTTATTTAATTTATTAATTATTAGTGTGTCATTTTCCAGCTTGCCCATGTTTTCTCCATCTTTGAGGGTGCTACGTAACGTTCCGGTTTTAAATTCCGTTGGGGAGGGCGACAAAAAGTTAAAATATTTTAACTGTAAAATTATATTTTACTGTTGCCGTCCTGCTCTCATCCACTAACATGACATACGGTTTGCTGTCTACTGTTTGCCTGAATCCATGTGAATGCAGCATTATGCAGGTAAAAAAAACAAAGTAGAACAGAATATAATTCAAAAACATTATTAGTAACAGTAACAGTAGTAAAAGTAGTAATATCAGTAGGAATTCTTGTAAATTTTTTACCCCAGACCCCGGGAAAACGTACCTATAATGCTGACCTCCACAGAGCCTGATCGCGTCCCGATGCTGTTGGTTGCATCACACACATAGGTGCCTTGCACGTCATATGTGATTGGCCCTTTAAAGGTAAGGACGTTGTCTCGGATCTCAGCATTGCTCGGTAAGGTCCCATTTATCCTGCAGAATATACAGAAAATAAAACTTATAGATAAATAAAAAGTGTAGTGCTGCTGTGAAATCAGGCATTTTAGGCTGCAACAATCCCCCAAAGAAAGGCTGTGACAGGAAATTCAAGTGTAACACATATAAAGTTGTACTCACAGTCTCCACTGGTACAGAGAGACGGCCGGGTTGGCATCAGCTTGGCAGCTCAACTGGACGTTCTCTCGGTTCAGATACCAGTTTCCATCAAACCCATCGACCAAAACCTCTGGCTCATCTAGTACACACACAAGCACATAAAAATGTCAGACATGTACAGTAGCTTGTAATTTAACTTGTGTACTTTATTTTACCTGTATAGTTAAGTACTTATTGGCATGTTTGAGAAAGACTTACACTGAATATCGAGGGTGATGCTGTCAGTGAAGACCTCCTCGTTGTAGGTGGTGACACAGGTGAGCGTCTCCTTGTGTGTTTCCCTGCTGGGCACCAAAATGTAGTCACTCTGAACAGTCACCGTCCCGTCTGAGTTTTTGTACTCTCGGGTGGTCACTTCTCCCGGCACTCTCGTCTCCCACCTGCTCACATCAACGAGGGATCAGTATCATTACACAGAGACACATTGATGTAGGCTGATTTGTGGTTAATCGCACATAAACACAAACACGAACCTTATGGTACCAGGTGGTTTTCCATTGGCAGAGACGCAAGTGGCTACAGGTGTTTTCAGATTGGAAGAACGAGCCACCAGCGTCGGCGTGGACAAACTCATCTGGGTTGTTGGGCGAACTGAGGAAATAAAAATAAATACATGGAGTTCATCTAGCATAATAATGTGTTTTTTAAGCACAATAATAGTATAATGTTTAACTTATGGTGGCCTATTCAAGGTGCTGACGTTTTCATTTCCTAAAAAGCTGGCGATGGAAATATAGTCATTATTTATTTTTTACGGATAATATTTACCCCATGCAATTCAGACTTGCAGTCGAAAATTAAAAGGTGAAATACTGACCTACAAATTTACAAAAATTAAATTTTCACATTGTTGGCTAACTTTCTATTTAACATACAAGTGTGGTATATACATTTTTTCATCTTTTCATTAAAAAAAAACATTTCTATGTTCAGAAAACTAGTAAAATAGTATATTGTGTCTGAAAGTTCATTCTTGACATTGGAAATAGTACTTTTTAATAAAAACAAATCTTAAATTAGTCCTTCAAAATACAATGTTATGTGCCATTCAACACATTTAAGGAATATTTTGGCATTTGGAGTTAGATGAGAAAATTGATGCCACATATTTTTGCCAGGTGGTGCTTAGCTTAGCACAAATAATGGAAACGGGGAATCAGCTGTCTTGGCTCCTTTTTACTTCCAGGTAAAAAAATCTGCCTACCATTACCTCTAAAGCTCACAAATGAACACATTATATCTTGTTTGTTATATCTCGACAAGTTGTGGTTTTATTGGGGGTTATGTGTCACAGAACTTCTTAGCCAGGAGCAGTGACTTCCTGGAGTCGCTGGTCGACGATACGACTTATCCGTCTCCATGACAACAGAGCAAACTCCATCCACTGATGAAATGAGGTGCAGTTAAATGGTCCAGTAAAGGTTAGTAAGTGGACCTTGAGTACTACAGTAACCACTGATTGTTTCAAACCTACAACTTTAACATCCACTGTTTTATATCACAGTAACAATCCACCTGTATTTCACTAAGATCAGATCCTCACAAATCTGTCTTACCATACACAGTGAGGTTTACGGTGTTTTCTCGGTTCCCCGCGGGGAACGTGGTGTATTCACAGATGTAGGTTGACTCGTCAGAAAGGCGGAGCGAGGAGAAGGTGATGGTGGTGTCTTCAAGAGTCGGAGTCCGTCGCCTCACTGCTCCATTCTTGAAGGTGACGCGGTCCCTGTAGGGCGGGGCCACGGACACACCCAGGGAGGGATTGGCGATCGCCACGTTCTGCTTTGTGCCGTTCACCAGTTTCTGCCATGTTACCTTGAGAAAGAAGGATGGATAACATGTTACACTGGTTGTTTTAGAATACCTGTACATCCATGCTTCATAACTCATATCTCTCTCATATCTGATGCTTTTGATTAATAAAAGCTGCCTGCTGTGGACAAAATAACACTATGAAAGTGGGGACAGTGAATGAAAACAGTAGAGTTGCAGGCCAGACAGCAAAACAATGACCTGAATCTGTAAAGCCAAGTGGAACTGCAGATTCAAGTAATCTGATCTCTTTCACGTTGTCACATTGTTGACAACAATATCAATTATAGCTGCTTGATCATTTTACCATTAATTGGACTTGGATATAAGGATACAAGGACACATACAGTAGTTTTCCCACCATTCCTCCTTATTGCTGTTTATTTCACTGGGGAGTTTTTCCCAGCTCTTTGTCATGCACATGGTCACACGTAAACCCCCATTAGAAGCCCAGTTCAGCATAAACATGGAATAGAAAACAGGTTTCTCTTGCAAAAATCTACTGGTGTTCCCTTTGTTTTTCCTACTTTCTTAAATGTGCCATAACTGACTTTTTTGGCCACTTGGGGCCAGTTGAGTACTCTGTATGTTGGTTTCTACTAACTCCTGATGGAAATATATGGCTCTTTAGCTGCTTAATGCTCCACTATACTTGTTAACTGTGTCTGTCTGCTGTTTGGTGCTGAGAAGGAAGTGTACAGTGGGTTTCTTAGAGCTATTTTAGTGAAAATAACTGGTAACTATGGTCAAAACTTAATTATAAAGCTTTGTAAAGCCAAAGGGAGGCGCTTCAGATTTAAGTGATAATTCTCTGTAGGATCATC